TCACCTATGATGATGATGTACAAGAGACGGAATCAACTCTCCAGGACTGCATCCAATACAGAGAAGGCAAGTACAGAAGTCGAATGGTAGTGATGGTTGGTGGTCACAAGTCCCTGGAATTGCGATAACCATGGTGAGATCATGCAGAGAAGACAGTGTTGGCATGATTGTTGGNTGTTATGGGTTGGCTGGCGGTTGGATGGGGTCGAATTTGTCGACATGAGAGAAGATGAACAGTCAGGTGCGTTGAATTAATTCGACCTCAGGCTGAAATGTAAAAGGAATCCAAAAATTATTGAACGAAATTGCGAATTAACACCTTTGGAAGATAGGTACACACCATATACGACTCTGATAACTGAAAACATCATAGAAATGAAAGAAATCGGAAAACCGTCGATGGTTCGATTAATTTGAAGGAAGTATAAATGTGATGATATTTCACCTATAATGATGATGTACAAGAGACGAAATCAACTCTTCAGGACTGCATCCAATAAAGAGAAGACAAGTACAGAAGTCGAATGGTAGTGATGGTTGGTGTTTACAAGTCCCTGGAATTGCGATAACCGTGGTGTGCTTATGCAGAGAAGATAGTTTTGGCATGATTGTTGGTGATATCTTTCATTTCCGTTCAACTTTCCATCGGGCATGCATTCGGGCAATGTTTGGCACGAAAACAGAGGCAATGATAAACTTTTCCCGAAGATAAGTTACCTTCAATCGAGCACATGAAAGACGTCGGCCCGATGAATGAAGGTTCATGAAGGTAATGGATGAAATCAACTTGACTCAGCCAAGACGGGCAAAAATACAAATTATGAAGTATTATTAAGCATAGATAGGCACGGGCGTTTGACATGTGACTTAGGTGTGAATCGTTCAATTGTAACTCGGGATTCACACGGGGACCGGGCTCAAGTGAGTACCTGGCCGATTATCATTTTTGCAATAAGTGTGAAATGATCGATCGCTCGGATTGATTAACTGGCATAAGTTCGACGCTGATAAAAAGTACTTCACTCATTAAACATTCCTTATGACTGTCGAGCAAAAGACAAAGCCCATCAGAGTCCTCCAACTGGCTTGTTTCTTGAGACCGATCGATCAAATAGGCCCACCAAGAAGATCGCCGACACATTGTCACCAATATCTCGTAGTTCGATTATTCATGGTCATACCTTATTTCTTCTACCATCATGAGCACAATGTGCAATTTTTTTCCAATGAGATCTCGTGTGATTAACATCATCGACCATCCAATTTATCTCATACCAAGCCCGAGACCCAGACACGATGCATGAGAGTAGTGGAGCATTTGACTTGAGTATCTGATGATTTTCTGCGCGTACAAATCGGACGAAGCGAATGAACTAAAAATCTAGGGAGTCCTGGATAATTAACTGGACCCGGTTGGGTCTCATCCGAGCAGTGCACGAATCCATCGACCCAAGTGGGGGTCGAGCCCATTGGGACCTCAGCATAGGTAGAACGTAAGCATGCGACTGACTAGACAACCGGGGAGCTACTGTACACGATATGTGACAACCCGTTTTTGTGAGATTGATGCAAGCTTCACACACACACACACGCCTCGTGTGTCCCACCTTTTCAGCTCATACACTTTGTGCACGCTCTGTACGCAAAGAAATCTAAATCAGCCAAGTTACACAGTTCGAATAGCGGCGTTCCTATGGTTAGCAGGCGTACATTTTGTTATTTTTAAATTCTAACACATAATTACGCAGAGAGCAACGGAGCATCGAATTGAAAATGTCGATTCAACATAGTATGTATGTATGTATGTATGTATGTATGTATGTATGTATGTATGTATGTATGTATATGGACAAATGAATTCGGATAAGGAAAAAAAGATGGCAGCTATATGAAATTGAATATCATCATTCATCACCTTTTCCTTTAACTTCTTTTCTATTGAATACATAACGACACAATTTTCAGGGAGGGAGAAGTAACCAATTAAGGGGCTGCCATACAACACAGAATGGGGTGGTGATAGTCCGATTCGAAAACACGTCCTCGGTCCGGGGTGATTAGTTGATGGCCGTTACCACCGGGTCATCACCGAGATTTTTTTAAAATAGCACTGATAGTTAACCTTCCAATCAGTCAATGTCATATTAGTCAAATAACTTAGGCAGTGTCAGCTAGACTACCAATAATGGCACTGTTTAGGGCATCCGTTCAACTGTGCGACAACAATTCATTGAAGCAGACCCGTTGTCATGTATGACCAATCAGATTTGCATAACGAACTCGGCGTTTGGAGTGGTCAAGATCATCAGAATAGTGGCCCGGATGTCATTTTTTTCTTACACCCCTAAATGTGGCGAACCACATAAGGCCCCGATAGGTTAGGCGTGGTATTGAATCCTACGACTGTCGCTCACCTTCCTCATTTGTCTGTTTTCCAAAACAGTCTTTGTATGGCAGCGGCCCGTTTGAATACGCAATAAACAAAACAAAAAATTAAAAACATTTGTTATTTATTGCTATAATCAATAACCATAGACAAGGGGTGAGAAATCAACTTTTTCATTCTTGTTGTAACATGAGTGATCTAGTAGTGAGTTCGTGAAATTACAAACGAAGTAAGTAGCACTGAAAGCGTGTTTCATGTGAGTAAAGGAGGATTTGATTCAATTTCAAGCTGGAAATTCGTCGTGTATATGGCAAATGAAGCGTGAACTGAAAGGCTGGGAAGCACTGGACAACTCTGTCGACTTGATTGGGTCTCATCAGCGGTGCGAATCCATCGTGTAAATGTAAAATGAAAAAAACGGTCTGATCACCTGTCTGGTGACCGAGTGGGTAGCATGCTTGCGTTCTGCCCATTAGGTCCCGGGTTCGATCCCCAGTTGGGTCGATGGATTCGCACTGCTGATGAGACCCAACCAGGTCAAAACAGCTTCTCAGTTCACGCTTCATTTGCCATCTACACGACGAATTTCCACTTTGAAAGCGTATTTCACAGAGCACACTATAGTCGTTTGCGGACAAATTCGGTAACCGAATGAGAGCCAACCGTGAGATAATGTAAAACCTTATGTGCTCTGTACAGGCTAGAGAATGAATAGTTCAAAACAAGGGTGGTCTCAGTGACTGCTCGGTCTAAGTGGGACGACGTTGATCAAGGAATGGATTATCTCTGCTTGGAAGTGACGATAGTGAAAGCCTCAGAATAGCCGGATCTCGGTTTCTTGGGTTGCGACCGATCATTCTTTCCTCGATCGCACTTGGAGAAATGCACCTCAAATAGCCTCGGTCGAGGGAGCCCTATCCAGTGCTTTCAGGTGGAGCAGCGACCAGAGGGGGGGGGGTAACCAGTACGACAACATTACGCTTGATTTTCTCTATGCTTTCCACCTAGCAAGGAATGAAATCGATTTAAGTAAATACACTTACCAAGATCTGGGTGGTTTGTGTTTGTTGTGGATCATATTGCACTCCCCGTATGGAATACATTGAGCCCATAGGGAATACATCTGGACAGACGAGATTCAGATCCGGACTGTTCCCCGGACCGGACGTAGCTGATCTCTGACGTTTGAAACGGGAACAGCACGGTCCGGTGCCAGTACATACGGGGTCACGACGTGCCAGCCAACGGAGAGGCATGAATAGGAAACTGGTGAGAAGGAACAGGGCGGCACAAATGTAGAACGCGTAGACAAGACGTTTGGCACATGCCGTATTGTGAACCGATCGGTGCCGTGGTGGTACGGACCCGGGAAGACCGCAATAGTCCAGATAGCCGTGACATTCACCATCACAAAAGTGACCTGAATGGTGTGAGTAGAGCGATTTTATGAAGAAGAAAAAAATGTTACAGATTTTGTCCTCACAAAGATGAAATGGTTCACTTTATAGGGAAAGTAGTAAACTTCTGATAGAATCTACTGATTGTAAAAATCATGAGATAATGACACATTTGGTTAAATTAATACCAACGATTTTGATCAAGAAACCTATGGACAGAAGTATACTAAGACCGGAAGAGGCAGTTGACACACAAATTCACATATGGGATCTCGAAATAAGATAAATCGAAAGTGAATACTCACTCGAACCCAGAGCTAGAGCTATCCCACCAATCGAGATATGCGTGGTCTCTGAAGACCTCAGTGTGTTGCTCAAGGATGGGTGTCTTAGAGTGTGACTGTTCATCCTTCCGTTGCACCACACGAAATGCTCCTATACACCAAAGGCATGTCAAATAGCCTCTGCTAAGGAAGGCCATGGACAGGTCCTGTAAACCTCTGCAAACTCACTCACCAAACTCCCTGTCTCAACGGAAACCACAACACGAAAGTGTATGGATAACGATTGCATGCATTGAGAACTGGACTCTCTCTCTCACTCACTCAGTCAGTCAGTCAGTCGAATAGACATGTACGAAAACACATACCGAGTCGTTAACACCCACGATTTACGCATCTGGCCGGTGGAGCGATTCGACCGGCGCGAAATCAAAAACGCTCATGTTCAACAGTGATACAAGCGGACGGGGGGGGGAGAGATAAATAGTGTAGAACCGACTGAATTTGTCCGAGCATGAGATCATTATCACCCGAGTAACTCACGCGATAGGCAAAAACGAAAGTATATCAAATGGGGAATAACAATACACCGACACGGATAGGTAGATATATGACGTTATTCAATCTATGCGCGTTTCAATTATTTTGTGCACTACGAATCCGAGAACTCGGACAAAACAATTTCATTTCCGGTCGATTGTGCACAGAACCAAAGAAACAGGAAGTTGCAATTTTTACGTAGTGTCTGCTTAGATCCAAAATTCCGTGTCCATGTCCGGGCGGCTATGTGATCTACCGGATTGAGAGAACATTAGGATTCAATGCTGATTGCTACTCTATAGAAGCAACGGTTCCCCTACCATACACACGAACGCGCACACAGACACTTCAAAATATACTACTCATTGTGAGTTGCAAGATCGACGACCGGGAGAAACCAGCTACGCGGTTTGGGGGGAACTGGGCAAAGAAAATCAGAGCATACTTAGGAAAGATATTAGTAAAATCAAGAAATCCCTTTATTACACCATTTGGTGCGGATTCAACTACCCCTCAAAAAAAAAATAAATAACGAAATATATGGATACACCAGGTTTAGAGAGTTATCTCAAGGCTGTGGAAAAATTATGGGAAATGCGGTTTGGGTGACGTAGAAAGTGGGCAAGATCAAGAAGTATGGAAGGGTAGTAGGTTTGTGTGTGTGTGTGTGCGCGCGCGCGCTTGAACGTGTACATACGTGGAGCGAGTAGAAGGGATGGAATAAATGTAAATCATACAGAGTTCTCGGTTTCAAGGAAACGGTCGATATAGCATCAAAGGAAGCCCGATAGTGTGTCCCTATGAACGATTTACATTATTCGATTAGACCGATGAAATTGTCTGAAAATCATCAGTCGATCGGTAAAACCGAGTCCGAGCATGCCGTCATGCTCTGTGGTCCATAAATCTCGTCAATGTGGCTTTGCAGCTTAACGGGACAGCTTCTGCAGGCCAGTTTGAGACTCGTGATAGAACATATTCGGTTAATTTTCAATCCAAAGATTAACACAAAAAAGTGTGCTCAAGTGGTCGGCCATGGGATTCCAGACGGTTGCAATGGAAGTCGACCGAGCAGAACAGTTTGTACGCTGAGTGAAGTGGGATTATCCTCCTAACATCCCGTAGACGATAAAATCACGTAACACAACGGTTTTTTGGACACAGTAGCGTTTGATCATATACATTCACCACTTTCAACGGGTTTGTGTCAATCTGCCAAACAACTATTTGAACAATTCAACTTGTCTTAGAAGCTCATTCGGTGGAGTCCGAAGAATTCTAAGGAAAACCTGTCGGGGTAGTCAGCTTACATGCTAACTGGTGGACGCCACATGCCTCTGTGAGTTGGATGGGTAAATTCGAATGTGAAAAGATCAGTGCTATCGGTGTGGCCTCGTAGCTCAGCTGGTAGAGCATGCGCGTACAAAGCGTAGGCGGCGTCCATGCGTGGGTTCGCATCCCACCGAGGCTACTGAACTTTTAACAATCGACATACAAACTTCAAATCTGCCGAACAACTAGTTGAACAATCTCTGATTTATCACGTGAATTTGCTGGAGGCGGTAAAAAGAGAGAGGGTAAGAAATCGTTTCAACAACTGCCTGAATTGTATGATTAGTACAAAAAATAACATTAGTTTACCATGTTTTCCATGGTTATTTATCATCCGTTTATTTGCTTTTTTTTGTCTAGCCTTCATTCAAGGATTTTAGGCCTTGACTCACGGTTCTTCAATTTTGATATCAATTTGTTTTCACCGATCCGCACAAAGGCACGTACTCCAATAGCAGGGCTGTACTTTTATCCGATCAGAAACGGTGTTTTGAAAATTGTTGAATGATCGACGATTGGAAACAACACATACAAGGCATTTGAAGAGAGGTCGCAAAGATCACAGCAAACCTCTAATTGGGACAATGCACCCATATATACATAGACTAGCCAATGCGGCCAACCTACTGCCCGAGCACTTAGCCTCAACCGGATAGAACAAGCCTTTAGCAACCTGAACCTGATAAGCTTAAACCGCTT